CCGACCTGCCCTCTCTCTCCCCGTCTCTGTCGCACGCTCGAGCGAGGCCGCGGGCGCGAGCGAGAGGACGCGACACGCGACCAGCCGAGGCAAAGAGCAAACACAAGACACCTGTACACTTAAAACCACGTCGATTTTCTTTTCGGGAAACGTCATAGCTTTGTTGCAAAAGGGTTTAGTACATAAAAACATAACCCACAAAGTAAAAAGACTGCATAAGTGCATATGTATGTACACTAGGTGGCTGACTCATCCCGCGCACTTTCGTAGTTAAACCGTACCGCATGCACACGTGCAGGCTGGTTGCCTACTCGCACGGGGCCAGAAGGAGCCGTGGGCAGCGAGGATAGGCAAACTTGGTCAAACTACGAAAGTGCGTTCTCTTATAGTCCTTTAGGGCCATGACATTGAAGGAAGCACCTCTCCTTTCCGTCTGGTTTTGCGTGCAAACTTCACGCCACGTTTAAGACAGCTGAACTGCGTCCGAATGATTGTACCACCATAGGCCCAGACCCGCTGCAAAACAAGCAGCTGTGTTTTCGAACACAGCTGTACGAACACTTGCGGCAAGGCGTGTGGATGGCAAATGCTATAAATTTATTCGACGCTCGCCCTCAGTGCGCAGTGTTTTAATTGCCTTCGAACGAAATGGCTGCTAAATTCGCGTTTGTACTGCTCGCCGGCCTGCTCGCCTTCCAGGTCAGAGAAACCCCTAAATGGAACCCCAAGTTTGGAAGAATATGACCACTATCTGGTCATCACATTCCACCCTTTCCGGAATAGGGTTTGATATTTTTTTGGCGATTGATCGTCTGCATTTTCTGAACAAGTGTGGGACTGGCGTCATATTAATTTGGTTAGAATGACAAGAGGATACCATTGTAATCATGCATTCGTGGATTAGATTACGAAACTGTTTGCTATCAAGACGCTGTCAAGAGCGATCATCTTGACAACTGGTACGAGATGTCTGAGACACTGTCTTTTTGTTATCATTTTTTCTGCTAGTCTACCTCTTGTGTGTTTTTTGTAAAAAAAAACAACAACAAGAAGATGGTGTCAGGCGCGGATTAATGAGGTCCGGTAGCGATGCATTGTCGGTTGCCTGCATACAGGTTTTTTGTGGCCCAAATTGCCTACCTTTGAGGCGGCTCACTAGAGACCACAGGGGATACGATCGCCCCATCCACCCCCGCTTAACCCCCGCCCATTGCATTCTGCCTATTGTGAAATTTAAGGGCTGGTTCAGGGGTCGCAAACTCGCGGCTCCCGAGCCAGGCGCGGCTCGCCTAGCCCGGTAGCGCGGCTCGCCGAGAGCCGCGCACCTCTTGCGTTCGGCTGGAGCCGAGGTTCCCGAGAGCCACGCTCGGGTTGTGTCTGTCTTTGTCTCACTCACTGAGAGCCTTTAGGAGTGACAAAGACAGACACACAGGCCGGCGGACGACGCGACTAGCTCTGTCTCTCTCACTCTCTTGTCGAAGAGCTCGAAGAGCGTGTGGCCTATGCAGGCGCGGCTTGGCGGATAGCTCGAGTTTGCGACCCCTGGGCTGGTTAATAAAGGGAAAAGGGCGAGGAGGGTGGGCGGTTTACCTCATGGTAGATACAGTCTTGGGGCTGTGTAAAACTTATCACGCATTTTAATAAAAAATTGTTTTGTTTTCTGTAGGCGGTGTGCGCCGAGTCCTCGTCCGAGGACAGCAGCAGCGCCAGCAGCGAAGAGCAGAACCAGCTGGCCAACAGGTGGCCTTCCCTTGGACGCTTGTTCAGCTCCAACAACAGGAACACCCAGCAGCAGCAGCAGCAGCAGCAGCGGGGCAACCAGGGTAGGGGTGCCAGCTTCGGCTGGACCGCCAGCAGCGCCAGGAACGGCCAGCAGGAGCAGCAGGGCAGCAGCAAGAACGCCCCTCAGCAAGCCAGTCTGAGCGTCAACGTCAACGGCAGGAACGCCCAGCAGCAGCAGCAGGGCAGCAGCCGGAACCCTCAGCAAGCCAGTCTCAGCGTGAACGCCAATGGCAGGAGCGGCCCCCAGCAGCAGCAGGGAGGAAACAAGAACGCGCAACTGCAGGTGCAGGGAGGTAACAGGAACGCCCCTCAGCAGCAGAAGCAGCAGCAGCAGCAGGGAGGCAACAGGGGCGCCCAGCTGCAGGTGCAGTCTAAGAACAGCCAACAGCAGGCTAAGCCACAGCAGGAGAAGAGCGTTGCCCAGCAGAAGAACTCTACCCTCACCGACGTGCTGACTCTCAAGAGCCTGCACTGCGCCAGCGCCAGCGCAAACAAGATCAATGAGGCCAGCCGCAAGATCTCCGGCAACCTGAAGGGTCTGCTTCTGATCCGCGCGTCCGAGGCCTCCAAGACTTCCGGCTCTTCCTCCTCCGACATCAAGGAGGGCCCGTGGGCCGCCGCCCAGGCAGAGCTCGCCATTGCCGCCCAGCTCGCCGAGAAGGCCTCCGCCAGCCTGGAGAAGCTCCTCCAGGGTGCTGAGTCCAGCGAAGAGTCCTCCTCTTCTTCCTCCTCCTCTTCCTCCTCTTCCAGCAGCTCCAGCAGCGAGGAGGCCAGCGAGCAGAAGTCCGAGGACGTAGACGTTGACGGCGACGTCGACATCAGCGAGGACGCCTACTATGATTGGTAGAGAGTTGGAGTGTGGACCCACATTGATGCCTGGAGACACCTGCAGTCCCTCCTATGACGTGATTGCTGTCCCCTGGCATTGGCACTTGAGAAAGGCACCGGTGCTTAGTAGTTCATGATACAGTAGTACACAATGAGAGGTGCAAAACAACCATCACTGTTATCGGCAACCGGAATAAAACAACAAATTATAAGGATGCTGCTTGTTGAAGTAGCCCCAATAATTTACTACGAAACACTTTACGATGGCAAATACGTTTGACCACGATGTGGTCACTTTTCAACCCGAGATACAACTCACATTATCAAAAACTTAATTTGTCGGAGCTAATTTTAATTAGCCAGATCCAAACGCGCAAATGAAAGCTGTGCTGCGTTCTTCGTGTATGATGTCGCACGCGTCGTATACTGATTTGCGACGCTTTTCGGAGACATTATCATTTGCGTACAAGCGCCGGTCCACTGGCAGACACGTGTCGCATGCCACTCGGCAAAGTACACACATGATACACTTATCTGCCAAGAGCTTCTGATGCGTGGCGCGGCCCTTTCCTCGCTTAGCGGATGCGGCACCGCGAGGACGCGGAGCCTCCAGGCGACCTACCGCACATGACTATGTCCTGCGCCTTAGTCCTTTGTTTCTTAGAAACCGACTTATTTCTTTGCTGTGGACACTTGTTACTGTAGTCGGCCAATCACAGTCAGGTGGTCGAGTCAAGACCGACCGAAGTTCGACGTGACACGTGACACTCGTGCACACTCGTGCCGGCGCTCGAAAACGTTGCACACTGCATTCGAACCATTTTCCCGAGAACTCGAACCCCCGCGGTTTGCACGGGTTGTTTGTTGGGGGATGGACTTTGGTAATATGCTCCACAAGTGGAGCCGTGGGGTGAGTGTGTGTGTGGTGGTGGTGGTGGGGGGGGGAGCCTTGGTCAGGGGTGAATACATTACACGGAGAATCGGTCCCAGATACCACACGACCCTCTCCCTTTAGTGCGCCGTTCTGTCCTTGTCTGGCGCGCCGTCGCATCCCCTTTCGACACGCGCACCATCTCGGTCCCTCTCTTTCCCCCATCGCTCTCATGCGCTCTCACTCACTCACACAGAGAAGCCGGGCCCGTCTCTCCACCCAATCGCACCCACTCTTTGAGACAATGTACAACTCGCCTTCTTATCTCATTTTCGCGCGCGGACTCGCCAATACGGCCCCGGCGGCCGGCGGCCGAAAGGGAGAGAGAGAGAGAGAGAGATGACGAGCCACCGTCGGAACGGCTCGCCCCTGAAGAGAGACGAGGAGGGAAAGAGCCGCGGGGGGTGGTCCCGGCGGTCCGAGCGGACCAGCGGCAGGTAGCGCCAAGGACTACAAGACGCGCCGAGGAGCTCCCCGGGACGTCACTCGACCGGACAGTCAACAGACGACATGTGGACCGCTCTCTGCTTGGCGGCCCTCGTCGCCACCGCCGTGGGTAAGTGAGGGGCCGAGGGGCACTTCGCAGGAGTCGAACTTAGGGTCACAGGACCGGAAAAAACTGAAATGCACAAAGCATTTTAAAGTAGGTCACGGCACGGATCGCCGCACTGAAGGGAATTCCCCAGAACGCGACGCCATGGAGGCGTAGGGCGCGGACACACTGATCCAGCGGCCGCGACGTGCGATTCTTATTTTGTAATGATGATCGAGGAACGAAGCACGCCACAGATGATTTCTACAGGATTTATTCCCTTCCACTCTAACCTTACTGGCCACCTCTGCGAAACAGTCGCTGACGTAAGCTGGGAGGCACGGCTGCGGGGTCGGGGACCGAGAGCAGGAAGTACCGTTGAGGATGACCTCAACGCCCGAGGCAGTCGGCCGCCGACACTGACCTGGCACAAGTTCCATTGATACGTGAGATGTGCCGATGTAATATGTGAGAGGGCAATGGGCGGGGGCGGGGTGAAACGAAGGTGCATCGAGTCTCGCACGCACAGGTACAGGGTGGCCCAGACCCGCTGTACCGCATGCAGCCGTTCGGGCGGGCTTGCCTATCGTCTCCCAACACGGCGCCTGTGGTAGTGTAGGTACGTACCGGCTGTAACAGAGAATGCGCAGCAGTGTTGCGGGTTTGCCTAGCCAGTTAGCCCGTAAGGCGCCATAACCCCTGCAGCCCTGGCGGGTATGCAATCCCGCGACACTGCTGCGCATTCTCAGTTACACCCGGTACGTACTCAGACTTCGGGCGGCTTGTGCTTTTAAGGCAGTCCCTTGTGGCTGTTGCCTCGACCAGACGGTGAAAGTTCCCAGTTTTGATAAAGATATTCAGTTTCCCGTTCTTATAATAAGGAAAAGATCGTCGTTCCAGTTTCGATAAGCCGCCGCCGCCGCCGATTGATTGCCGTTTTTTGTTTTTTTTTCAGGCTCGCCCTTCGGGACGGCTTTGCACGGCAAGAGCAACGGCCTGGACGCCCACTCCTACTCGGTACGCAGCCACCTCTAGAGTATCTGCGACGATGAAGTGTGCAATGAGAGCTTGGCGCAGCGCCGGTACATTTGAGTCCTGTTTGAACCGGCCAACACCTAATCTCGTTTCAGTTGGAGGTCCGCAAGGGTTTGAGCACCCTCGGCCCGGCCGCCCTGGTCTTCGATGAGTACGCCATCTGCTCCGCCAGCATCCTCCGCGGGTAAGTCGCAGCGGCCCCGCTGGTCGCGCCCTGCGCCCTCGGCCCCGCGCCCCGCGACGCTCAGCAGCGCCCTCATCCGCACCCTTTCCTTCTGATCCGCAGGGCCAACGCCTCCGCGCTCTCCGTGCGCATCGGCAGCCGCATCTTCTTCAACCTCTTTGGCGAGAGCGTGAAGGTGTCCGAGGTCCTGCTGCACCCCGATGGCGCGGACGTGGCCGTGCTCAAGCTGCAGAAGCCCGTCACCTACAAGTAGGTCGCCGCCGGCGACGCCGACGCGGCGCCAATCATTGTAGTCCCTCCGCCCCGCCGGCCGCAGCCCAGTCACGACGAGCTTTTGTCGCCGCAGGTCCGCCAGCTCCATCGCCGTGGTTGGGCCCGAGGGCGTCGCTCCCGGCACGCGCGTCCAGGTGTCCAGCTGGAACTTCGCCTCCTTCCTGAAGGTGGCCGACGAGTGGCTGGTGCTGCCCAAGTACTGCGCGGGCCCCGGCCTGTGCGCCACGGGCGCGGCTGGCACTGGCGCCCTCGTCAGCGCCGACGGCCAGCTGGTCGGTCTGGCCGGCAGCAGCAAGGGAAATGGTACCTTGGGCGGCGTCGAGTCCGTCGTGGACCTGGCCGAGCGCTCCGTGCAGAAGTTCATTGCCGTCGCCACAAACAGAGGTGGGCATTCCCTCTGCGCAGTCTCCCTTAGAAGTTGATTTTCCCCTCATATTTTTTATGACCACTCTCTCTCTCTCTCTCTCTGACAGTGCCTCCGACACCCCCAACACCTCCGACACCTCCCCCGAGCCCTGCGACGGAGACACCGGCAACGGAGGCGCCTCCCACTGCACCCACCGTGCCTACCCCAACCAAACGCCCCAGTGGCAAGAGTAAGTGGCAACGGTCGAGCGACAATCCCCCAGCACTACGTGGCGGACCGACAAACTGATCGAACCCTTTATTGTAGCGTGTGCGATCAGCACACAGAGGGGGTTTCCCAGCCAGGAGCCCATCCTACTGCGCGAACAGGACGTCAATACCGCGGCGCTGACCTTCCGGGACCCAGATCAGGCAGACTCTATCGAGCTGGCGTCGGGCGAGCGCGTTGTCGTCGTCTGCTCGGGCAGCGGCAACTACCTCAACTTGGACAAGAAACTCCAGGAGGCCGTGGTGGAGTGCGTGGAGGACACGACCTTCCTGTTCAAGGGCCAGAAGGTGGAGTGGAGCTCACTGGGCTGCAAGACCATTGCCGCCAACTCGGCGCGCAGGGCCGGCAAGTGCGGCAACTCGGGCGAGTTCTCCAGGATCGAGATCGGCTTTCAGGCGACGAGCGGCTTCGCGGTCCAGATCGAGAACTGCTTCAACAGCGTCACCTTCGACGCCGTGTACTCGCGGATGAACATGACCCCCGCTATCGCCGGCCACGAGTCTGGCGGCAAAAGGCCCCAGTTCACGCCCGCTGGCTTCTACGAGGGCTTCGACCCCAACAACCTGTACAAGAACAAGGCCCAGAAGAAGACGGTCGGCGAGCTGCTGGGCGACGCGAGCCTCGGCAACAAGTACATCAAGGACGGGTCCAGCTCGTACTTCCTGGCGCGCGGCCACCTCTCCGCCAAGGCGGACTACATCCTGGACGCCCAGCAGCGAGCCACCTTCTACTACATCAACGTGGCGCCACAGTGGCAGACCTTCAACGCAAAGAACTGGGAGAACTTGGAGGACAGCGTGCGTCGTTGGGTGGTCAGTAGCGGCCGCTCCGTGCAGGTGAGTCCCAGACAACCGACCGTTCTGAGGCGACCGATTGGCTGCCTACCCACCCGGCGCGTCGGCACGCATTCTTAACT